CCAAGGAAGAAGTACATGCAAATCAAAGGATCTCCCTATTTTCCAAGAAATGGTATGCATAAATAAAAAGGAAATACCTTGGATACCAGGGGTGGGTTCTACTTACCTCCGCTACCAGTTCGCAATGGGAGCACGCTCTCGCATTTCTGCTCATGCGTAGAAGCTTTATTCATGATGATGTCTGGGCGGGTGGGCGAAGCATCCCACCACCGTTACTATCCGGTTTGCAAGAACCGGACCGAACCAGGAGTAACCCACCACTGCTGCATACCCAATGCAGTGTCCATGGATACTATTGCTGCAGGCAATAGAGCTCCATAGTGTTTAGGATTTAAAGGCATAATCTGCTTTAGAGTGTGGGGGGGAGCTATGATTATGGCATCTGTCAGCAACTCTTTAATCCAGCTATGTCTTTTCACAAGATCACACAGCAACTTCAAATTCGGTTGACCTAAGGAGTTGAGGTAGACTATGTTTGATCCCTGCTTTGACATTCAAAGTGTAATAGAAAGCAGTGGTATTTGTGCTACAATTTTTGCTGTTCAATAGAGGTACAAGAAGGACATGGTGGCTCAGTAGTTAAGATGCTGAGCTTGTCGATCGAAAGGTCGGCAGTTCAGTGGTTCGAATCCCTAGTTCTGTATAACAGGGTGAGCTCCTGTTATTTGCCCCAGCTTCTGCCAACTTAGCAGTTCGAAAGCACGTAAAAAATGCAAGTAGAAAAATAGGGACCACCTTTGGTGGGAAGGTAACAGGTATCATTCTGTATCCTGATTGGTTAAGCTCTGTAGCTAATGTACTTAAGGGGAAGCCTGAATCATGGCTTGAGAACACTATACCATTTTATCTGCTTATTTGCTGTTACTTTCTACCTGATCTCTCTGCAGGATCACTGTTTGATCATTGCTACTTGTTGCTTTCTGCTATTTATTGAATGTTTTAATACTGAACTTGTTCCTGTTTGAAACTCGAGAAGAACTGTTTTATTGTGTAATGACAGCAACTGGTAAGAAGACTTTGTACTTGGAATATCCCTGAATTGATATTTTAACTAGCGCCTTATCTGTGTATGACTTGGATTGTTATTGGACTTTGCTTTACTTTCTTCTAAAAGTAAAAGACTACCACACCTCAGTTTGTCAGTATGTTAACTGTGGTTACTCAGCCGCTTTCATGTGTATACTCAGGGGGTACTCTGCTCAATAACCCATAACATCGGTTATGAGCCAAGAATATCCTTAACAAGTTTCATTTTCAGTTTTACTTTGACAGCAGCAACCAGGGGAACTGTGGGGCAAGCCTGAGGGAGAGAAGGGGAGAGGAGAGGCCGATTGTAACTACTCATTAATTTTCAAGCTGTAAGTGTCGATTTATCAAGCCCGATCACATAGTTTCGTAGCGGAGCACAGGTATTCAGCTAGTATACAGACATACCATAGCTATATGGTAATAAAGTTGAATAATCAACTCATTCCTTGGCTCTTGCCACCAACTCTACGTTCCTTTTCAACATTTATCTTTGCAAACAGGTAGATTGAACAGGGTAATATATAGGTCATATAAAGGAAGAGGGAGGCTTAATGCTTCATTTCCCATTGCTTTGTCTGATCTGCCTTCTGAACAATGAACAAAATGGATGATGGCATATTCTGCTATTTGTAACTATTGTTCCAAAGCAAAACAAAACACCCACTAACAAGAAAAACTAGTAACTCATCTCTTTGTCTTGAGGGGAAATGACCCAGAAGACTCATATCCAAGGGAAAAATGCATAGCTTTTCATACAGTTTGTACAAGAAGAACTGGAATTGCAACTCTCTGTTTCTGTTAGACCCTTTCTGAAGCATGAGCTTTGACTGTTCTTTTTCTCGCGTGGTCTTTTTTCACTTTTGAACACACCTAAACTTGGCACTGGTTGCAAAGAGCGTGCACACATAACCCTGTCTTGTTTTGGAGCTCTGTCCCTTTAAAAGATTCAGGTATAGCGGCAGCCTTGTTGCTGCTGAATATTTTAAAGGAAGAGAACACTAAAATTGCTTGCTTAATTAAATATGTATGCCAATTCTAGGCTTTTACATTTAAGATGGCTGGGATTAGCTTGGCAGGAACAAAGAGATAATGGGACAAGGAGGTAATTCATTTAAAAAATTAATCAGTATATGGGCAGGTTAGTGGATATGTGTCAGACCTAGCCCAAGAACAAAGTAAAACTAAGAAAAAAACATATTTTTTTAGTGAGAAATACAATTTTGTTTGTTGCTGTTGGTTTTTTTCCTGTTCTTGCTAAGAAATCACTGCCTGTGTGTGTGTGTGCTACAGAAGAGGATTCTTGGAAAAATCCTATATCTTGTGCATCTTCATCATTTCAAAAACTATCAGTATTAAACTGAGCACATAATAATTTTCATTTATACAAAGTGCAGGTAGTCCTCAAGTTACAACAGTTCATTTAGTGACCGTTCAAAGTTACAACGGCACTGACTTATGACCGTTTTTCACAGTTACAACCTTTGCACCATCCCCAAAATCATGTGATAAAAATTCAGATGCCTGGCAACTCGTTCATACTTATGAACGTTGCTGTCTCCCAAGGTCACGTGATCCCCTTTTGTGACCTCCTGACAAGCAAACTCAATGAGGAAGCCAGATTCACTTAACAACCGGGTTGCTAACTTATCAACTGCAGTGATTCACTTAACAACGGTGGCAGGAAAGGTTGTAAAATGGGGCAAAACTCACTTGACAAATGTCTTGCTTAACAACGGAAATTGGGGGCTCAATTGTGGTCGTAAGCGGAGGACTACCTATACATGATCAAAACATCAGAAATCGAGCGCGTACAACCACTGGTATCCCATACACATCTGATTCTCACTTGGTCAATAGCCTTCCTTCTTGAGCTTTTGCTTCGCTGGCTGGGGGATTCTGGGAGTTGAAGTCCATCCATCTTTAAGTCACCAAGATTGAGAAACACTGGACTATGCCATTTGCTTCTGCACACCATCAGGGAGGTGAAATACTGATCTTGAGTTCTGAGACTTTTTCTCAATGGAAATGCCAAATGTACAAACCTGATTGGCCAGAATTAGACAAAAGGAGATGTTCTGACCTAGGCTTCGTTAGAAAGTATACAGCACAAAATTAGTCCCGGCAAACCTCTTTAATTCATACAGCTGTGAATTATTGTCATTCCCAGTCCGAAAGGCTTCTCACTCTATCAGGAGAGTATTTACAAACCCACCTTATCTCCCTTGGAATGCTGCCAGAGAACTAATTGCCACATGCAAGGCAAGGCCAAATTTAGCACAGAGTCAAAAAGAGCTTTTCCACAGCTTTTACCGACCAGATGAACTAATTGCTTCCTGCAAATGTTCATGTCCCATTCACTTCTCTTTTATGTCTTATGGGAGGGGCCAATCATCTCCAAGCCTTACTCCCAAGTCGATCCTGTTTTCTTAATTTTTCCTGTCTTCTGGCAGCTCTGCGCATGCGAACACTGGTAACAGTTTGACACTGTTCTTCTGCCTCGCTGATGTCAGGCTCTGGAGATTCCGGAGGCAGCAAAGAACTACAAGATGGCCTTGGCCCCCTCTCTCCCTCTAACTCAGAGCCCTCGTCTGAGCCTTCCCCAGACTCCAGGACTGGCCCATGTTCCTCCCTAACCTCCTCACTGTCTGAATGTGCCACCAGCTCTGCTGGCTGCTGGCGAGCCACAACAGGAGATAGCTTAAGCAACACCATGTTCAGATCCTGCTAGGCACCTTGTGTAAGATTCTTTTAATTTTGGAATTCTCTGGACCATTCACACATTTTGTGATGCTTTGTTTATACTTAATCAAGAAAATTAGTTTATATCCCACCAATCCACATGAAATTGGATCACATGCAGCTCCAAGGACTCCTCATATTGTTTGGCCCTTGCTAAGTTTGTATCATAGTTGTGTCTGTTACATGTTCAGTGATGTACATATTGAAAGAGAATCGGAAGTATGTTCTCCAGAGAAAGAGTTTTATGGGCAAAATTAGCAAGCATGCTATGGGATTTTCTAGAGCTGCGATGGTGCAGTGGTTAGAGTGCTGTACTGCAGGCTACTTCTGCTGATCACTGGCTGCCAGCAGTTTGGCAGATCAAATCTCACCAGGCTCAAGCTTGACTCAGCCTTCCATCCTTCTGAGGTCGGTAAAAGGAGGACCCAGATTGTTGGGGGCAATAGGCTGACTCTATAAACCGCTTAGAGAGGACTGTAAAGCACTGTTAAGCGGTATATAAGTCTAAGTGCTATTGCTATTGCTAATGTTCCATTTGTATCACCTTTCTATCTCCCACAAGAAGGAAAATAAATATTTACTAGTCTTGTAACTCTCATGTGAGTGGTGTGGTGGCCTAGTGGTGAAGATGCTCACCTCCCACTCTGAACAATGAAAGTTTGATCCTAGGTAGCGACAGATGTCCTAGGGCACAAAGAAAAAACATCTGCTGTGAACTTGTCAGGAAGGACACCCGGATGAGCTCCATCCAGTCACCCCAACTCTACCCCCAATAAGGACTACAGGGTTATAAAAATGGAGGGTATCTATCTCTCATACGTAGCTTACATGAAGACATAGAATAATTCTTCTGATACAACAGTGGCAACAGGAACTAGGCAGTTCATCCACTCTTGAGACAAACTTTTGGCTGTGTTTTTTTAAAAAATATAATTTTTTATTTATTTTTAAATATTTTTTAATTTTAAATACAAATAATACAAACATATAACATATACATCTAAATACAAAAAAAGGGGAAAAAAATACAAATATTACAGTGCACCCCCCACCCCCCTGGGGTGACTTGAGCTACTCCATCCTGTTTGAGCTCTTTTTATCATGCAACATAGAAAGAAAGATGGTTGAATTTCTTGGTCAAGCGGGCACGCAGATAAATCTTTGGTTGAAGCAACAAACTCCAATTCTAACCACCACAGTAATGCATTTTCTTTGCTCCTTCTCTCAAACAGCCCCTTGTGCGTAAGAGTAAACCTTTAAGATGTCTCTCACCAATAAAAAGCAAGTGAGCACTTCAGCACTGAGGAAAATTGCTGCCGACATGAGTACCTTAATCGAAAGTCTGGACTCAAGGGAGCTGCATTTTGAAGGGGACGAATTGGATAGTGATGTGGTACATGATCCAAAAGCTCCTGGTAAGTCAATAGCACAAGCGTACAAAATGCTTCTTTGAAACCCAAGTGTTCTTTTTTAAAAAGAAGGTTAATAGTTTTTACTGAATTAGGGGGAAGAGAAATCAAATGTGATTGAATTACACTGAATCCAGGAATTTTGAGTGGAGCTTTGATGCTCTCTGTAAAGTCTTCAGCAACCATCCTGCCTGATATTTCTCCGTTTCCTGTACTACTGTAACTTAACAACTAACCTCCTTCTTTTACCAATTAAAAACCAAAAGTCTATATTTAATAACTCCAAAACAAGGGGGAGATAATTTTTCAGGTGATGAAACGTCCCAAATACCCAACAGATCACAGAAAGGTCTTCTTCTGGTCATCAGTACGGAAAAGTTTGAAAGTTTGGACCCAGTTTTTTTTCCCCTTTGAACTTTTTAGGGATTTTTTTTGATAACCAGGTTAAGAGAGTAATGGGAGTTTTTATGTCCAAAAGACTTGCAGCCCCATTCCTTCCCTTATTCTGAAGTTTAAATATGAAACTCTGAAAATTTAGCCCTCTTGACACTGGGTTTCAGAGATGACATCTTGCACTGCTTTGGGAACCAAAAAGGGAAGTGATGGGCAGCGCATGGCCTGTGTGGCTTTATCCACTCCTGTTTTTAGAAGTCTTGGTGTCAAGTCATACAAAGTTCATGAGAAAGCAAAGAACTATACTGCTGAGTGCATATTCTGGAATTTTTTTTATTGGATAATGTTTTGTTTTCATCGCTGGCCGCAGATGGTCTGCCAGGTATCTGCGGAATAATAATGGGAAGGATTCAGTATGGAATCTGAAATGGTACCATCTGTTCTCTTAATTCAGTGTTGTCAGACATATCAATTTTAAGATGTGTAGACTTCAACTCTCAGAATTCCCCAGTCCACACATCTTAAAATTGAAAAAAAAAAAAAAAAAAACCTGTCCTGAATCATTCTGAAATACAGTAATGGCACAGAATCTGGAACTAGAGAAACACTTTTTTAGATTAGAAATTTTCTAATCTACTCTGAGCTTTCTCTTCAAAGAGGTTTGCTAACAACCGCAATAAATTAGGACTACCAGATATGGATTGCAAAAAAAAAATCCACATGACCTTTAGGTGGAAGGAAAGAGATACAGAAAACCCCAGGCCTTTCCCATTATTTAGCAATTACTGTGTTGGGATTGCTGTGGCTTAGATTGATGGTGCTAGATCAGTGTTTCTCAACCTTGGCCACTGGACGATGTGTGGACTTCAACTCCCAGAATTCCCCAGCCAGCTGTGCTAGATAAACTACACAATGATAGATAAACATCAGCGAGTTGAGAAGGAGAAACTTTTTCATCCAGCATCTGCTTGCATATGCATAAATATACACTTTTATCTAACTGAAGTTATTCATGTCCAAAGGCCATGTTGAAACCAGTGCAACAACTTAAGCCCTGTTGTTTTGAGTGGCCTGGTTCATTCAGTGTGCTGTAATGTGATGTGTTTCACTTTCAGCTTAGAGGCACCCAATCAACTGTGTTCAAAACCTGTGGTTTAGTGTATTATGCAAACCATATGGTAATTAACAGCAAATATCATTTTAAAAAAGCTCCTTTGTTTATACAAATTATATGTGGGCTGTCTTGGATTGTGTGGAGACTGCTAGCATTGAGTCCCTGATGATCAGAGGTGGGTGGGACACATAATCAGAATGGGCAACCACTGTTCGCCTCACCAGTTGCTCTGCAGTTGAACTGAAATCTGAGAAGAGACCTTGAGGTCAACCACGCAAGTACCACACAAATGCTACGAAAGAAACATGTTGCCATTGTGACATTCAGCCACAGTTGTTGACAGAATCTGCTGATGAGCCCTGTGCTATGAAGTTTCCACCAGAAAAACATGAGTGACATCACCCACAGCTACTACAACATTGGACTTTCATGGCTCTGATTGTGGGTGATGTCACCTATGATTTTCTATCTATCAGTTTTGGTGGCACTCTCTTCAAAACTGGTGGAGGCTTCAAATATCTATTTCTATAGATGTAGAGAAGATGGATGGACAGACGGACAGACAGACAGACAGACAGACAGAGGGGTGATAGATGGAGATAGAGATATATATTTGAACACTCTACCAGTTTCGAAGAGAGGTGCCACCAAAAACTGATAGAAAACCATGAGCGATATCAACTGTGTTTTATTCAACAAACTACGGTTAGGCAAAATATAAATTACTGTCCAATCTGATCCAGAGTGTAAACTGTGTTGTTTCTCTGTATCATATAATATATGTGGGTATATGCATAATTTTGTATTTATTTAGTTTGTCGTGTTTATGTAGTGTTATATTGAAGGTGGTGACCCTTTGAGAGCTGCATGCAACTAAATTTCATTTTAATGTATGCTGTACAGTCAAAGTGACAACATCATTCTAAGTCTAAGAGTGTTTTTATTTATTTATTTATTTATTTATTAAATTTATATGCCGCCCCTCTCCAAAGACTCAGTTTTGCAGTAGAAGAACCCAGATTCAGTCCCTCATATACCCATTCATCCAATTCATTAATTTAAGTTTTTGTTGTGAAACTTGTATTACTTTTTAAAAAAAAAACATTTCACTCAAATTCACCCTTTCGGCATCAGGTTTCCTTTCTAATGCGGAAGAGACTAATACAAAATAATCCGGAGTTTTTATTTATTTATTTGAAGGGAGCTTGCCTGAAGGAATCCACATTCTGCTGCCATTCTGTCTCGATCTGTCATTTAACTGCTTTTGCTGTAACCTGTTAAACGTGCACTTTAAAACCCATGTAAAGAACTGATACCCGGTCATTATCATTATTTGCAGTGGGCATTCCATTCTCAGCCATTTATAACACTAAAGGATTTAAAGAGCCTCACGTGCAGCTCTACCTAACCGGGTGTCCCATCCGAGTACGAGTTCTAGAAGTGGAGCGTTTTACGTCAACAACCAAGGTCAGACCTAGCTCTCTCTGAACTCTCCATCATATTTTCATGTTTTGCAAGGCTGCAGTTTTTTTAATGGAAGACTAATTTTTTTTAAAAAAAAAAAAAGCATCAGGGATATCATGTTTAAATGCTTTTTAATCTGATCCATAGGAATAGCTCAAGGAAGGTTTCTGTGCGCCATTTTTAAAAGTTGGTACACCTGATGATTTGCATTGGAATCTCCACTGCGGGGTCTTAATCTTTAACCGAGATAAATTTTTCCCCAAATGATAAATTTTCCCCAAATGTGATAGAGGGAGAAAGGAAAGGAGGAAGGTTTTTTTTATTTATTATTAAATGTATATGGCACTGGTTTCATTATCCAAGTCAGTGGAGAAACCAGATTCACTTAACAGCTGTGTTACTAACTTAATTGTGGCAAGAAAGGTCATAAAACGGAGCAAAACTCACTTAACTGTCTTGCTTAGCAACAGAAACGTTGGGCTCAGTTGTGGTTGTAAGTCAAGAACTACTTGTATTAAATGAGAGTTTAGGTTAATACTCTAACCCAGGGGTGTCAAACTCAATTTCATTGAGGGCTGCATCAGGGCTGTGGTTGGCCTTGCCCAACTGGGTGGGTGTGGCCAACTGGGTGGGCGTGTCCAGCATGATGCCACTCACTGGATGTAGCCAACTGGGTGGGTATGGCCACCTTGATGCCACTCCCCAAACTGATGACATGTTTTCTCTTCACATTGGATAGACCAGGCCGAAGCCACGTGGCCAGCCCCTTACATTTTTCAGGACGGCCCCATGGGCCGGATCCAACCACAGTGTAGGCCAAATTCAGCCCATGGGCCTTGTGTTTGACACCCCTGCTCTAACCCTACTGGAAGGTCACTAATGGACTCTTTGTAGAATCTGCTGCTTAAAGCTGCTACAAGAAGGAAATGACTAAATAATCTTCTTTTGAGTCTTTAATGTCTGTTTTCCTTTTTGAAGGTGCCAAGTCCACGTGTTTACACCATTGAGCTGACTCATGCGGAGTTTACATGGCAAGTGAAAAGGAAATACAAGCATTTTCAGGAGCTGCATAGGGAACTCCTTCGATACAAAGCTTTTATCCGAATTCCTATCCCAACACGGAGGTGATTGCATGCCATCTTTCTAAACAGGGATTCGTTTGGAGCGTAGAGTGAATAAAAAGCACTCATAGCTACCCAATTTTCATCCAGTGGTATACTATGATTTGTTGAGAGCTCAGCACGTTGTGTTGGATATGTGATTTTTCTCTCGGACAATATTGTTCAGATTTGTATCAGCTTTAGCACTACAGTAGTCTTAGTATATCTATACCACCATTTGCTAAGAGGTTTCTTGATGACATAATTGATTCTTTCTCGTTTTTTAAAAGGAAGAATGTATTACGAGGTTGGATAAGCTAAAAGACAGTGAATTATCTAAAGTAGGTACCGTGTTTCCCCGAAAATAAGACCCTGTTTTATATTTTTTTGAACCCTGAAATAAGCACTTGGCCTTATTGCCATGCGCTCAAAAGCCCAATTGGGCTTATTATCAGGGGATGTCTTATTTTGGGTGGAAATAGGGTAATTATCTGAATTATAAACATACAGATGGCTAGCTTTTTTGAGCAGGTGCTATCAAAGAACTAACTACAGGAGATTCTGAATTTTTACCATTAATTTTCTTCAGGATTTTTTCTGTCTAGATATCTCTAACCTAAGACACTTCCTGTCCGAGCAATTTTTGAACCCATATTTCTCCTAAACTCACGCTGTAACCCAGAGTTCGGTAGGTAGGTCTCCATGCAGTCACCCAGCATATTAATTGAGTGAGTCCCTAAAGACTCTCCAGACATTGCTGTTGTGATCATATTAACACTGTTCTGACCCTAACCCTGCTTTAAAGACTACTGTTTTTCAGTTGTTAAAACAAAGATTTTATGGTTTTGAACATGATGTTTCAAAAAGTTGCCAAAATTTCAGTAGGCCAAGAATTGGCTTCATGTAATTAAGTTTCTTTGGGATTACATGGAGGCGAAATAGTAGAAATATGCATATATTTATGAACACCTGTATCAAAGAATTATGCATTATTATTATAGTTAATCACAAAATCAGCCAGATGTTTAGATTGGATTTGGCATTTTTCCCTTCCCCCATGGACTTGCAATAGGCAGATATTGTTATTTCATAACATTAAAGGTATCATCAAAATTTTCTGGTTTCTAGGTCAGCACCTTAATCACTACATCAAACTAATTCTTATAATGCTTGCTTATTATTGCTAAGAAGCAGGTGATCACTATAATTCTAGTAAATTCTTTGGCGGTAAATCCTAAAGAAGACTGCTCCAGCTAAAAGAGATTCTCTTCAAAGAAGTAAAAGTGCTAAGATGGCAGTTTTATGGACGTAACAATCACAAAAAAATAAACTTTTGCTTTTGAGTCAGTATTGAGTCCTGGACAAATCCCTGAAGTTTTCTTGGCAAAATTTCAGAAGTGGTTTGCCGTTGACTCCTTGTTAGGGATGGGAGAGTGTGATGGGCTCACCATCATCCAACCAGCTTCCAACTCTTAGGACTAGACCTCATGGTCTCCTAGTTTCTGATTTGATGCCTTAACCCAGAGGTGTCAAACTCAAGGCCCACAAACTGGATCCAGCCTGTGGGGTGCTTAAATCTAGCCCGCAGAGCCAGCCTGGAAATAACAAAGAACCAACCCGCGGTGCCTCTGGCAGCCAAAACGGGCCCCATGTTTGGCTGGCACAGTGCTGCAGGAGAACGTCCAGGCTGAAAACGTGTGCGGGGGGCCACATGTGCCCCCCCGTGCCCCGTTTTGGCCAGCAGAGTGTTGCAGGAGGCATCCATCCCATCTCTTTCCCCCCCCCCTCCAGCCGGCCCGCAGAGGAGAACTACAATGCTGATCCAGCCCTTGAAGAAATCCAGCTTGACACCCCTGCCTTAACCACTGCACCAAACTGGCTCTCTCTTTATTATCTACTAGTACTACTACTACCTACTATCTACTAGATGACCTAGAAAAATGATTGTGAATGTTCAGTTCAGAGATGATTGAAGTCATCACTTTAGGACCTAAGTCATTGTTTTAAATGGTCAAGCTATATCAGAGACGGCCAGATTGATTTGGTTCGGAGATGTCATGATCATTCACCCATAGATTTGAATATCTAAATTGGCCTGATTTAGATATCTGAATTTTGTTAAATCAATTCCAAATTAACTTGGTGATTCTAGATAGATCAATCAGTAATCCAAATCAATTTTATGATTTTAATTGTTGGGACATATCTATTGGCTAAGGCAGAATTTACTCATTTATGTAAGTGAAGTGTGGTAAAGGTATATTGTAGCACTTTGGGATATTTTGTGGTGGATGAAGACACAAGGCTGAAGGTGCACATGCAATTAATATATCTATGTATTTTTTACGTTATCTTTCCCAGTAATTAAAGGAATCATTTAGCTGCATTTTGAATCATTAGCTGCAAATGTTTTCTTTTAAACAATGAGGATCTTTTCTGTTGCCAAATTCACCTTCTATCATTGGGACACATTCCAGTGCATGCAACCAAATCAATGTTTTTATTTTTTTAGACACACTGTGCGGAGACAGACTGTCAAAAGGGGAGAAGCAAGACAAATGCCGAGTCTTCCACGCACCTCTGAAAACATGGTCAGAGAAGATCATCTCTCTAGTAGAAGAGTAAGATCCTTCATCTGAAAAATAAGTTTTAAGTTATTTTTTTAATGTTAATGTTAGACCTTGGCTACATATCAAATTGTAGTTTCCATAAATGAGCTTATGTATACATTTCAAGCATGTCATGCATTTGTTCTGATTTCATTGCTCCCTTTACCTATGTAATTGATAACGCCAGAGAGCTGGAACTGAATATCTCTTCTAAGTAAGTTTCGAGCTATATTTAGGACCTTCTAAGTGGATCATTCTAGTGCATAGTGGAGACGTTTTGCCTCTCGGGTGCTCCAGTAAGGAGTGTATAGAGTTCAACCATTTCCCCTAACTTATCTAATATCAGTACTGGCTTTAGTTCTATTTTTGATTAGAAGGAAGTAGTCTGCAACTTTGGTGGTCCTTCTAGATCAGGGTAGATCAGGCCAGATGCATCACGCGCTGGCCACGCCCATGCCTGGTTTAGCAAATGGGGGGGGGGAAGTCACAATAGTCACTTGACAACGCCATGATGACATGAGTTTGACACCCGTGTTCTAGACTCGTGGTTTACCAGTTGAAGCTATTCCTAGGAAAGCTGGTGCTGGTGGCCATCTTCATCACAAGATTCTTAGACCCTAAAGAGATTTCCTTCAGGAAGGTATGGAAGGCTATTAAAATTGGGGAAGGAAGAATGCACTGTTAAGGAGAACTTGGACATGCAATGATATAATCCAGAGACCGACGGAAAACCTGAGAAAGATATCGCTTGATTTTGTTTAGTATGAAGGGAAGGGAAGGGGAGGGGAGGGGAGGGAGAGAGAGAGAGGGAGGGAGAGAGGGAGGGAGAGGGAGAGGAACTTGAATAGAATTTCAAGGTTTTGTTATTCCATCTTTTTTCCAATAAAGTAGCTGTCGAATAGATGGTGAGGATTGTGACCTTCTAGGTGACCTTCTGGGAACAGAGGCTGCTCCTGGTGAGAAAGGAAGGTGGAGTTTGAAGACACCGGGCAATGTGGATTGAGTGTTTATTGGAGAATGTGACTTTTGTGGGATGTTTCTAAATTGCAATATTATGTAGTGTAATTCCGGTTTGTGTCAGATCTGGAATTACACCAGTCTTTGCCAATTTGATAAAAGCAATTTGTTTTGGAAGATGGCTTTTCCTATTTCTTTTTTGAATGGGTTTCATCGCTTGGAAACCTGACATTAGCATTCCAGGAATCCTTGAATTACTTGGGGGTTTTTTTGTCTCCCCTAATTTAAAAGCCTTGTAAATCCCACTGTAAATGGGATTGGCTTTGAAGGCAATACAGCTGTCTGCATGTTAGCGGTCTGATATCGTCATACTGCACCAGCAGTTTGGCATTGCATTGGTTGTTGGTTTATTTCCAAATAACAATCAAGTTCCTGATTAAAATATATAAAGCCTATATGGATTAGGGCCAAGAGTACCTTTTCAAGGCTGCCTCTCTCATCTGATACAATAAAGAGTGGCCTCTGAAATACGAGCAGCGCCCTCACTTTTGATGTTCATGGGCCTGCATTCAGGAACTGAGCACGTTTGAGGAGATGTAGGTATCTGGAATGGGCATCTGGAATGTGGGTATCTGGAATGGTAGTAAATGATTATTACAGGTAGTCCTGGGCTTATGATCACAGTTGGGACCAACATTTCCATTCTTAAGCAAAGCATTTGTTGAATGAGTTGAATGAGTTGTAGCCAATTTCACAACCTTTTATGCCATGGTTAAATGAATCACTTGGTCGTTAAGCAAATTTGGCTTTCCCCATTAATTTTATTTGTCAGACGCTCATGGGAAAAATCACAAATGGTGATCAACGGTGAGTACCAGTTGTATGTAACTTATTCAGTGCTGGATTCAAATGCTTGGTGTAGAACTGGCTGTCTTAAATAACTACTTAACAAACAACAGTATTTCCACAACTTCCTATCTTCTTACCAGGGATGTCTGTGGTAGGTGAGGTCGCAGAAAATGTTAAGATGGCAGTCATGACTCATGGGATCAAAGCCTTGTCCCTTTTTTAACATACATGCAATTCCTATTAAAAGGAATAGAGCTTTGATCATAGGATTGCAACTATCCATTTTTACTTCTTTGACTTCTCTTCTGTAAACACTCCCAATTATTATCTTGTGTAGCCCAGAGAGAAATAAGTGTTTTTTATCAGGGCAACCTGTTCTACCCAAATATGGGATGGAGCATATCTAATATGCAGGTAACCCAGGTTCAAATCATAGAAGGGTATGACTAGCTGATGAGAGCTAAATAGCTTGAAATAGATCTATACTAGTCTCCCTTTATTTCTTTGTCGGTAAATATAAATTCAACACAATGAGAAATGAACCACAAGCATTGTATATAAAATTCATATTGATGTACAGTACTAAAGAAGGATTATGTTGACATTCTAATTCAAGTCCAATTTTAAGCATGCTGTTTGTGCTTAGTCCTGTCATTGAGATTTAAGGCTTTGTTTTGTTTTGGGCTTTCCCCCCCTTAGTTTCTCTTTCTCAATTTTTTGCTCTGTTTACCAGAAAGAAAGATTATCTTGAATTTGAAAGACTCTCCCTGAGAGCAGTTGTAGGCAGAAAAAAAAACACATATATTTTTTACCCTATTCTCAGCAAATCGAAATTCATCCTCCTGTCTTCAAAGTTAATTACTTGTGAAAAATATATCAGTCTTCCTTTCATGTAAATCTCCAGCTATTTCAGATTGCTTTTCATCATGAGGCATTTCTCAGATTCACCTGCAAAGTAAAATCAATTACTCCTTTGTTAATTATCTCATCTTTTCATTATCGTTATCTTCATAAATCATTCTCCTGCTTAATCTTCTTCATATCCTATTTCCTCTGCCTCCCTCTCCACTTGCTGTCTTTCTATCACCCATGCAACATTTCAATTTTGTCATTCTCTCCAAAAGAGATCTTCTTGTTTTAGTCTGATTCTGCATAACAACAACTCAGATTGGTTGTTTGCCTATGGTCATTTCATTACGTGACTAGGTAATATCATCAGTGCTACTGAATGTGGGGTTCCTTCCCTGTTTATATACAGTGACTTGCCCTGCTAGTGTTGGTGGGGTTGTGGTTTTCACCTTGGAAGTTCCTTGATTAGAGTATTGTTTTCTGCTTGATTATTTTTCTGGTGTTAAACCCTGCTTATCTGCGTGCTGGTTGCCAGAAAGGATGTATTCTGGTCTTTTTGTTTCCTTCTTAGCTTTTGAATGGTATGTAAATGCGGTTTACCTCTATGTGCCTGTTGATGGCTAATTTATGTGTCAAGTTTCCAAGAATTGCCTAGCATTTTTGAATTTAGCTTAATATAGGATGCTTAGTTTTCCAGTTGAAACTATGGTTAATCAGTCCATGTGTTGTGAGATTAAGAAGTTTTCATCATGCCTTCTGAATGGTAGTTGATATTCATGGATGTGCTTTGCTTGTCTTCTGCCTGCCTGTTTTAATAATGGCTGTTGCAGTCCTTACACTGGTGTGTTTGTGTTTCCTTTGCAGAAACAACTGGAAGATTATCTCACAAATCTCTTAAAAATGCCCCTATACAAGAATTATCATGGAACAGTAAGTGACCTTAAGATGGTGTTTACTTTTTTCTGCTCAGTTAAAGTTATTCTATCAATATTCTATGATTGTTTGATAAAGAAAGATCAAATTAGTGATGTGAGTTATAATTGATAGCTTTATAAATATATATAAATGGTAACTTTAAGAGGTTTTCAAAAGTGTTTGGGCTGCCAGATCATAAATATTTGGAGTTTTTTTAAGTGAAAGAAGACATTTTGATTTTGTATCTAGAACAATATAAACCTAGCTATTGTAGTTACAACTTTTTGAGCAAATCATGGTCAAAGTACAGTGCTAATTCAGCCAATCTGAACTTTATCTGTAATGTTCTTTGTGATACCAAGGTGTTATTGGCTGAATCTTGTGTTGTAAAGTACTACTGTAATGGAGAAATTAGCTTTAGGGTTCATTTGCAATTTGAAGAGGTACACTCTCATTCATTGACTTAGCATGATATGATCCCCCAAAATATAACATTAAGTCATAATATGGGTATGTAGTGGGAGGGAGCATATCATTTACATGTTTACCAAAGTTTAAGATTCAGTAAATTTATGAGAGCCCAGAAGCAACTGCATGACGTCCACATTTAGTGATTGCCTTGTTTTGCAATCATTCATACAGTGATGAAAAAAAAAATAACTTTGCAACTAATCTTTGCATTTATAACATTCACATAACATTTTGGGCCTGGAAAGCCTCCTGCACCAACCTGTAGGCCAAAACGGGGCGTGGGGGCACCACTCGAGACCCCAAAATACAATGTGAGTGCCCCCAGTACATGCCCCCTGCCCCCCGCGCATGGGCAGCAGAGACCTGAAGACCAGCTGGCCGGTGGGAGGCACATGCGCATTCGTGGTGGAGCTTGGCTGGGGCGACGGCTGGCGTGCCCACACCATAGGTTCGCCATCACGGGTATAGAGGCTGTGTATATCTACTTCTAGCTGTTGGGATGTAAGAAGAGAGAAGTGTTTCTGACGTGTATCATCCCTGAAATTGCCTAGTTTCCATTTACTTGAAACAGAAACAAACCCTTGAGCTAACTCAGAAGGGCCTCCCTTTAGGGTTTTGAAAAGGTGATTATAATTTCTCACCTGTTTGTGTAGGCTTGAACTGGTATACATGTGTAATAACATAATTGCCTTCTGTTCATAAATGCAATATCATGCCAACTTGGCACTTGGAAATGTTGAGTCACTGAAGAGGATGTAAGTACATAGCGTCACTGTGTAAAATTTTGCTCCCAACATGTTTTCACCTCTTTCAGTGTTCTCCCAAGGCAGGTGTCCACTTCCTCTGTGGAATTTTACTGCTTCTTCAACAAGTAATTTCTGGTAGCAGGGAATAATTCAAGTCCATTGAAGAATTATTTCCAGGGCAGAGTTTTGAATTCAGAAGGACAGTATATATGCACAGAAAGGATATGGGTGTGCCTGCACATGCATAATATTCTTTTGCACATCCTAACGAATAAAGCTACTTCTTGTATTAGGGAGTACATTCGATTACCAGATACATTATGGTCTTCCAATATTATTGGCTATGTACTTTATAGGTTTGTGGCTTTTCTGCCTTCTGGTTCTGTTGCAATATTGAATGCTGGATTAGAAGCCAGGATTCAGCCTGAATCCTATTCTATTTACCTTTTACATCGTTCTCTTGAATTTTATTTATTTATTTATTTATCTAATTTGTATACCGCCCTTCTCCCAGAAGGGATTCAGGGCGGTGAACAGCCACAATTAAAAAACATACAAATACAAAAGTTAAGATAATTAAAAAAGAATTAAATCATTAGCTTCCCAATTTAAAACCCCCAAATCCATAAAATTTAAAATCCCAATTAAAAGCCATTTAGGCTAGGCCGGCTTGGTGGAATAATCAATGCTTTGATTATAGTCATTGTTTATGTCAAAGACTCTCTGCTTGTCTTTGTAGTTCTCAGTGATGATGAATGGTCAACGGTTGTGGAGTGTGTTTATAAGGCTTTCTCCTGGGAGCTTTTTTCATCAATGATGATCAGCTGATTCTGCATCCATTTGTTCACTATACAGCAAGGTCACTAATTCTCATTTGAAACCAATAGCTGCTTAATGACTTGGTAGTTGTGAACTGTTTACCGCAGGTGATAATTGCTGTATTTTTAAAAAATTGCACTGCATCTCTGTAAAGGTGTATATGAGCATTGTAAAGAAAGAGATGAACGACTTGTGTCTTGCATGCAATACTTCACGTGGGACTTTTGTGCAGCACAAGTGAGTCAATGGGATTAAAAATGTTGATCCAGTTTTTCTGTTATTTGCATGTGGGGGGAGAGATATTAGTGAATTAGTGAAATTAGAGCCTTAAACCCTTCCAAGGGCCAAGAGCAATTCATTCCATTAGCAGAGGATTAAGGCCAAAGTGGGTACCTTAAGTCAAAGCACAAAAGATAAAATATGACCTTCAGCTCAAGAATGTTACATATCTCTGTGTTACCCTGATCGTCAGTATAATGCTAAACTAGAACATTGTCGTAATCATAATTGCCTTTGCTTCTGGCTTAAAAGAACCTGAATTTTGTGTTTCAAGGGTAGCACAAAAGATCCTTTGGGATTTGTCTCCACCAAACAACTGTTGCCAATTCATATTCAATTCTCCCTTACTCTTAGAGGGTTTTTCCTTGGGTGTTTTTCTTGGTGGAACAATGTATGTTGACACTGAAATCTTCACAGACCTTACTTCATAACCAGGTTCATTGGAAAACCTGGATGAGATCTTGAATATTCCCTGGGATAGCTGAGGGAATCTATAATTTCAGATGTAGCATAGAAAATGTTACCGTATTTTTCAGAGTATAAGATGCACCTTTTCCCCCCAAAAAAGAGGGTGAAAATCTGGGTGCATCTTATACTCCGAATGTAGCCCCGCCCAGCTTCTCAAACAGAGGTTTCAGAGGCTGAAAAAAAGCATCAGAAACGAAGCTTCAGAAAAGAAGCCCCCAAACAGAGCTTCAGAAAAAAAGCATCAGAAACAGAGCTTCAGAGGCTTTTTTTCTAAAGCTCTGTTTTGGAGGCTTTCAGAGGCAGAAAAAAAAGTTTTTTTCTGAAACAGAGTTTCAGAAGTTTCAGACGCAGAAAAAAAAGCAAAAAAACAAAACCAAGGCACAGAGCTCACAACCAAGAAACCTGTTGCTAAAATTCACCTCTGGGGACAGCTGATTGGGGGTATTCCGGGAGGCGGATTCACCTGCCAATCAGCTTTTTTCTTATTTTCCTCCCCAAAAACTAAGGTGCATCTTATACTCCGGTGCGTCTTATACTCTGAAAAATATGGTACTTTGCTGCCGTTTGTGGGATTCTGCAGCTTTTAAGCTCAAGGCATCCTACAGTACTTTCCCATAATACCTTTTGTGTTAAATGATTATTCTGCAAACATGAAAAGATGGCAGAACTGCTGCAGGCTCAAATTCACCAAATTCAGGCAGTGGTTTAATTCTTTCTTTCTTTCTTTTAATAATGGTCAGAGATTACACTTGGATTTAATGGATACATTTGCACAGAAATCTTTTTCCTCATGAAACTGAATATACGTGTCCCAGGATAATGCTGCAGGATCCAGTCTGGGTCCAGAGGTTTTGTCTTCCAGCTTTCAGACTTGTGTAGGAGTCCAACTTCAGGGAACTTCTCTCTAGCAGAGTGTGTGCTGTTCTGTGTGTGGTGTTTAAACGGTGCCTGATGCATGTGGCTTTTTAGGGTGTGTTGATGGTTGGTTTTTAAGTCATTAGCTATTGTTTGCTTGTGCTGCCCCTTCCAAGTACTTAGAAGGCAAAGGCTGGGCAGCACAAGCAAACAACAAGCAACAACTTAAAAGCCAGCCATCAACACACTCCAATCAGCATCATACAATAGGCACTATAAATACCACACCACAGAACAGCACACACTCTGCTAGAGAAAAATTCCCTGAAGATGGGCTCTAGCATGAGTCCGAAAGCTCGGAAGACAAAACCTCTGGTCTCAGTGACTGACCCAGATTGGATCCTGAAACAATTTTTTTTCACTTAATACGTTGACAAGTCTAATCCTAGGTAGCTAGTTTGTTTTAGGACATCATCTTACTTAGAGACAACCATATTTAACAGTGTTCCTCTAACATAGCCAATATGTTTATTTTTAATTTTGTCCCTAAACCATGTATGACAGTACAATATGTGATTATAGCCAATATGCCTTTTTCAACAAATAATTATAAAAACTAAAACATGGCCTGCACAATGTGTAAACACGGGTATGGTTTGTTGGAGAAGCCATAGTGCCTTTCTTCACATTTAACACTAAAGCCATATAGCCTGGCTTTGATTACTATGATGGTTTTAATTTGTCACAGTAACCACAAACCAATTAGTTCATTAGCTCATTATTTATTAAAATACGTGAATCAGGGTTTGGCACAAATATGGTTTGTGATTCCAGTAATAATGTGTATTTTTCACCAATTATGGAGATGGCAAAAACACCTGTAAGTGTGTGGTTCCCGACAGATGTTTCCTGCTGACCTCAACAACAATAACAACAAAAGTTATCCAACATTTCACAAATGCAAACATTCCAGTGTATATCAGTACAAAGCTATAATGCTACCATCCACAGGCAATACAAATACCCAGTGAGCAGGAATTTTATATCACTGTGGAGATATTCGTGCTCTCTAAGTGGTAACAGTAACAGAGTTGGAAGGGACCTTGGAGATCATCTAGTCCAACCCCCTGCTCCCGCAGGAGACCTATACTAGGGATCCGAACCGCCGAACTGCCGACATTTCTGATCGACAAGCTCAGCATCTTAGCCACTGAACCACCTAGCCTTTGTTGCTTCCTTGCAGATGTTTTGTTGCTCAGTTAGGCAACACCCTCAACAAACTGGTGGTGTTATCTAGCTGGGTAATAAAATATCTGCAAGTAAACAACTCATTTCAGAGATCACCAAGAACTTCACAGTTCAATACTGAGCTAAATTCTCTACTATTAGCATTGCGTCGTGCTTAATCTGAGTAAGAGCTCAAACCATAGCATGCTTCTCTGCAGTTTTCAGAACATCACAACAACCCTGTGGATGAAATTTGGGCTGAGAGACAGTGGTCATCCAGTGTCCCAATGAGGTATAATGGTTGAGTGTGAACTTAGGTTTTCTCTGTCTTCAGTTTAACCACTAAAACACAATGGTCCTTTGCTTGAAGAAGAGTCTAGGTTCAGTTCCTCTCTGGGAGAAATCATCAGAGTCTAAACATTGGAGAAGCTTCTGGATGAGCCCTGGATTATCTGCCATTATGCAGAGACTGTGTTGCCATAACATGCCTACTGGTGGCTTTCTCAACCCAGCTCACTGGTTTTCTACATAATGCTTTGGACCATAAACTACAAAGGTTGGGTTTACACAACATACTAAATGCATTTAGCTTGTTTGTGGTTCTGCATTTTGTGTAGAGGTCACAGAATAAACAAGAGGAGTCCAGATGAAACTGTCTCAGTTTAAGGCCACTATTTCCGTTCTCCTTGCCCACAACAAGCTCAACCTTACAAGATAGTGGGGCTGACATGGATCTTTTCGATAACTTTTGCTCTGAAGTATGGGACTGAACCAGGCATTTATGGCAAGGTTAAATGTTGTAGAATCCTCCCCATTTCACTCAATTCAGTGCTACCTTCATATGAGATCCTGTCAGGTGCAAAAAGTTAGGTAGCAGAATCAAAAGTACTACGAGTTTATATCAGGGGTGGGTTTCACTTACCTTTACTACCAGTTCACAATGGGAATGTGCGTGCTTGCTTTGCGTGCGCACACTTCTGCGCATGCACAGATCACCCATGATGATGTTGTGGTGGGTGGATGGATGGAGCCTCCCACCGGTTTTACTACCAGTTCTATAGAACTGGACCGGACCGGGAGCAACCCACCACTGGTTCATATCATGCTACCTATACACAAGATTGTGAACCACTAATGATCAAGGCGAATTGGTCGCAGATAAGACTCAATGGACTTCAAAGGGGCCTGAATTTAGGTCTCTTATGGGGATGTAGAGACTCTAAACTGATGATGTGTTTGATCCTGCCCTGATGCTCAGCCTGGTTGTCCCTTACAGATTCCCTGTCTGGTTTTGGTTGACTGTGATTTAGCATCCTGGTAACACTGAAGTAAAGCAATACGTAGACTATTTTTGCTATTTTATCTATTAAGTTAATTGGAAATGTTCCCTTTCCCTTTGTATTTTACTTTTCAGATGGAATTCCTTGGTGTAAGTCAACTGTCATTCATCCATGATCTGGGACCTAAAGGCATGTAAGTCTTGGCCTCTTTATGAATATGTTTAGTGAAAACATTTCGGTTTTCCGTTTTCAGCTTCTGGTTTACAGAACATTTTGAGTAGAACATATACTGTGTTTCCCCAAAAATAAGACCCTGTTTTATATTTTTTTGAACCCTGAAATAAGCGCTTGGCCTTATTGCCATGCGCTCAAAAGCCCAATTGGGCTTACTATCAAGAGATGTCTTATTTTGGTTTGTTTACTTAATTTCTCACATTTATATAGCTACCCATCTCACAACAAAGTGATTATAGGCAGCTTACAACAGAAATAATCATAAAATCCAAATATAAAATAACTACAATTTTAAAAAAAACAGTCAGCAATATTATTGCTGTTATAAGACAATGAAGAGAATTGATGTTAAAAACAATGTGGCCATTTCATTAACTCGCCATTGCACTGAGATCAAGGATAGGGGGGGCAAATCTCACCTCAGAGGGGCAGACAATATTCCACAGGGTAGGTGCCACTGCAAAAAAAGGCCCATCTTCATTTGTAGACAGGAGGACCCATAGCATACCTGTTTTGCCAGACCTGACAAGACTAGATATAATCAGGTGGAGACAGTCCCTCAGATAAACTGCCATGAAGGGCTTTAAAAGTCAAGCCCAGCATTTTGAATTGGATCTGGAAGCAAACTGGCAGCCAGCGCTGTTCATAGGACAGGAGTGTTTCACACTCCTTTTTCAAAAAGCATCTGGACTTCCTTGTTTTTCCTTGAAGATATTTCAGTTCAGAACTGAAGAAATGTCTCGGATGAGAAACAAAATGTCCTCAAGGATAAATGAAGTCCAGTTGCCTTTGGGACAACCATGACTTGGATGACTGAGAATTTCCAGAGACATAGGACAGGAGTGTAACATGTGCCAATCTAGAGACACACATTGCTGCCAGTCCTACTGCATTAGGCACCAGCTGAAGCTTCTGTATACTCTTCAAGGGCAGCCCCATGTAGAGCACAATACAGTAGTCCATTCGGGAGGTGACCATGGCAAGAGTGACTGTGAGCAGAGCCTCCCAGTCCAGGAACTGGTGCACAACACAAAGCACAAACACAAGGGCATTGAAGCTGTACGGATAACTACACACATGGACATTTGATGCAGATTTCCAATTTTTCAAAGCTTTGGTAGGGAGAGTCAGCTAAATATTCAAGTTACGGAAGGTTGTATGCAGAAAAATACATGGGTGACAGCACTTAATCAATGTGACTAATCTTGAAAAAGCTAAGCAGGGCTGCCTGTGGATAATACAGTATGGGAGAACACTGGGAAATCTAATAACTAGGATAGCTGGAAGAAGGTATTGATAAACTATAGCCATGCTGTTGCAAGAAAACGGCATGGAGGAGTCCATGTAATCACCAGAAGCCGAGCTCAACCCGAGGGATATTTTATGCAGGAAAAGATTTGCAGGATGAAAAGCTGTGAATTTTTCAGCCACCTCCTGCTTCTATTTCTGTAGCAACTAGAGTTAGTAAGTGACAACTTGTTGTGAAAGATTTCCCCCTTCTAATTCCTGCAAACTACAACATTGCCTAAAGCGATGGTGAACCATGACAAATGTGTCACAGGTGACATGCCAATGCCACTTTGATGACGCTCCAGACCTCTGGACCGAAAACAATGCTAAACCATTTATATAACCTGATTAAGAAAAAGGCATGAATGTGTGCATGAAATTACCACAACTTGTGAATTCCATAGAGTCAAAGGCAGGATTCTAACTGGATATTCTTTTTTTTTTAAATGGAATTCCTAATGGTAAGAATTCAGCATTATCCAGAAAGTTACCCAGCTCTCCTTTGCTGGATTTATTCAAGCAGAGACAGGGTAACTTTCTGTCCAGGAACATTGGATTTCTGTCCTGAACAGAGGATTGGAGTTGATGACCTAAACATCTGCCTCTAGCATTACAGTTCTGTAAATTTGAGACAAAGACAACTTTATAGTCAGTTATGAATGGACTTGATTGTACAAGCTGGCTCTACCATGCTTCACCACGTGGTTTTCTCGGTGTTCCTGCTGGCTTATTTCATATTTATTATGTTATTTGCATCTAGCTGGTAATCCAAGAAACAAACCTTAAAGAACCCATGCTTTGCTTTTAGTTTAAGGCCTTCATCTGTTTCTAAACAAAAAATAAACAAGCCACCCATTTAAGAAGTTCACTGAGAAATAGAACTAGGTTAGAGTATGATCTGGTGATTCACTGTCAACCAAGCATAAATTGTGGTTGCTTGAATGCATCCAATTCAAGATATTGGTCCTGCAGGGCTAAGGTCCAGGTTATTTTGACAACCTTCTCCTCCAGGTAGACTCTCCCCAACCAGTTGGTTTAGCCTGGGATGGGATATTGTGGGTATCCCACCTTCTGAGTTTAGAAGAGAAGAAGCTCCAAAAAACATCTTCTCAGTGACAGCCCAACCCTTTGGGACTAAATCCATATGAACCCTATATTTGGCATCTTCAAGATAGCAATGGAACAATTCAGGCAGGCCTTTGGACTTTGAAGACTCGTTCACAGGGAGCCAGTGAGTTTTATGTTAATTTTATGTTCAATTTTCACTCTGTCAAATTCGATTGATTTTCATGATGCTTTGATATTGGATTCAGCAAGGAAAGAGTGTATATATCGCAAATAAAATGGCAAGGAAAGAGTACATATATTGCAAATAAATAAATCTTGCAGACAAATTATAGAGATAGTTTCTGATATGAAAAAAGGAAATGCACCAGAGGTTCCTTTCTTCATGTTTGAAATTGGTTGGGAAAAAACCCCTGTAAGATTGGATTTTGTAATATCCAGTAGACCAATTTTTCTCAACTTTATCCATTTGAACATGTGATGCGACATCCGGAAAAATACGGCATACTTCACTTAATCCTCTAGGGGAAAGATTGAAGGCAAACGAGGTCCAGGCAGAACATCATGGCTTCAAAATCTAAGAGACTGGTTTGGACAGAACTCAGCAGTACTTTTTCGTGCGGCTGTTGATAAAAATAAAATCGCCAACATGATCGCCAACGTCCAATGACGGATATGGCACAACAAGAAGAAGTCCATTTGAAGATATATGAACTTCAATTTCCAGAATTTCCCAGCCAGCATGGCTGGCTGGGGAATTCTAAGGAGTTGAAGTCCACACATCTTCAGTAGACAAAGTAGACAAAGTTGAGAAACACTGCAGTAGACAAAACTCCTGATTAGGTTTTTCTTCTCCTAAAGGCTTGCTAAATCATTACACCCTTTTTCTTGTCTTTGTCTTCAGAGAGGGTATGATTATGAAGAGGTCTGGAGGACACCGAATTCCTGGCTTAAACTGTTGTGGGCAAGGAAGGCTATGCTACCGATGGTCAAAAAGGTACTTTTGTGGAAATTCTGAATTTCCTTCTAAATGCTCCCCCACCCACCCACCCCCCAGAATTAAACTGAATGGTTTAGAAGCAAAGGAAGGTAGCTTTAAAAAAAACTGTGGGTGGTAGAAGTAATTTTTGCTCTCTTAACAGCTGTCTGGTATGTTTTAAGCAGAAGAAACATTTTGAAAAGACCTGAGTGATATTACTCTCATCTAAATCAGATGCAAAACTAGTGACAGGTGGAGTGGTAGATATTAAATTGGACCCCCTTTGCACTCAATTTCATGAATTATCTGGCAATAACTCATAGCTCACCTTTATTCGAGCTCCAGGAGCCCATTTTTAATACTTTTCTGCTTTGTTCCTTTTCCTTTCAAATTGGGAGCACATTTTTCACCTTCAAAAACAGTAGGGATTTATAGCACAACTGTGAATACAGTTTTTTTTTTCTTTCTTCAGAATATACTGTTCAGATGGGTAGGACAAACACAGGTTTTAATCGAATTAAGAAATAATTGCAGTACAGATAATTGTTTTATTACAAGACTAAAGGTTGGTGTACCTCTGTGCTTTGTGCAAAATTTGGGATGGAGATTCACGAATGGAATCCCGGGGATTCGGGGTTTGACAGATGTGTTCAGGCAGAGCATGAGAGTCAGATGCGTTAAAAATGCCATGTTTAGTTGATAAATTCAAAACATTTTAATTTTAAAGACTGTGTCCTCAGTCCTTATTATTGATATTATAGAAAGCCAGTTTGATGTGATGGTTAAGGCACCAGGCTAAAATAGGGGGATCCTGAGTTCGAGTCCCATAAAGCCAGACGGGTGACCTTGGGCCAGTCACTCTTTCTCAGCCCTAGAAGGAAGAAGACAATGGCAAACCACTTCCAAAAATCTTGCCAAGAAAACTTCAGGGGGTAGTCCGGGCAGTTGCCATGAATCAATGCTCACTCGAAGGCATACACACACATATACACACTCAAACACACAAAATCATTACTACTATTCCTCTTTACACACTTGGTGAATAATCAATGCATACTTTTCTTCTTAAATGAACGTTTCATTGATTAGGAATTAAGGCACCCTAAAAAGCAATTTATTAAACGTATCTTTTCTTTTATGTACACAGAGAGCTTATGCACCAAGACAAATTCTTTGTGTCCAAGTCCAATCACACTTGGCTAATAAAAAATTCTATTCTATTCTATTCTATTCTATTCTATTCTATTCTATTCTATTCTATTCTATTCTATTCTATTCTATTCTATTCTATTCTATTCCAATTAAATTTAAAGTGAAGGTATACACTTACAAAATATGCAACAACCTTTCTTCAGACTTACCTTCAGGTAGGAATGGCATTCTATTTACTAACAATGGTTTCTCTAGTTCATTTTCTGTTGTTATTTTAAATGCAATAAAAAAAAAATGTAAGAAAAAACCCAATGGTTTCTTTTACTGGGAACAGCCTCTTGGTCAGAAATAATCACCGTGGCTCCAACTTCAAATAAGTCCTCCAAGGCAACCACCACTTTTTAATGTTCTGAAATGTCTACAGAGCCTAAGGAAGACCTAAAGGCATCTCTGGAAATACAGAAAAGACGAGGCTACATTTTTACACTTTGGTTTACTGGCAGGTCCGTAAAAGAGATCTCTAGAAAGATTGTTGTTGTGGCCATCATGTGGCTAGTCCCTCACTTAGGATGCTCCTTGACCTGTATAGATACTTCCCTACTCGTGCTTTAGGTCTGATCTAATATTATACAATGAACAATTGAGGGAACTAAGTACTGTATTTTTTGGAGTATAAAACGCACCAAGATTTTGAAGAGGTAAACAAGGAAAAAAAAAGGAGGGGTTGCCTTCTCCGGCCCCCAGGAGCACTCTGCAGGCCTCCCAAACCCTCTGCGTGTCCCGTTTTTGCAAAAATGGAATGTGCAGAGGGTTTGGGAGGCCTGCAGAGTGCTCCTGGGGGCTGGGGAGGGAAAAAATGCCCCCATTTCTTTCAAAAAATGGACTCATTTTCGCAAATGGGCCATTTTTGGCCTCCCAACCCCCCCTCCTCCCCACGTCACGTTTCCCCCCCCCCAGCCCCCAGGAGCACTCTCCAGGCCTCCCAAGCCCTCTGCAGGCCCTATTTTCATGAAAAACGGGCCCGTTTTTGTCCTCCCAAACCCCCCATGCATCATGGTTTTGCCCTCCCCAGGAGCACTCTGCAGGCCTCCCAAACCCTCTGCAGGCCCCATTTTTGCAAAAAAGGGCCTCTTTTTGGCAAAAATAGGGCACGCAGGGCAGGGTTTCAGGAGGCCAAAAATGGCTGTATTCAGTGTATAAGACGCACCAACATTTCCACCCTTTTTTTGAGGGTGGGGGAAGTGTGTCTTATACTCCAAAAAGTATGGTATGTCTAGTCTAACAAAAAAAATATAATGCCAGATTAAGAGTGATTTTTTTTAAAAATTTGATTTATATGCCGCCCTTCTCCGGAGACTTAGGGCAGCTTACAATGCATTAAGCAATAGCCTTCATACTTTTGTATATTTTTACAAAGTCAGCTTATTGCCCCCACAAACTGGGTCCTCAATTTACCTACCTTAGAAAGGATGAAAGGCTGAGTCAACCTTGAGCCTGGCAAGATTTGAACTTACTAATTGCAGACAGCTGGAGTTAATTTACAATGCATTAGTCTGCTGAGCTATCCAGGCTCCAGGATATGATAGAAGTCTTCCAGTATTTAGGGGCTATCAGCAAAGTGAAGGTCAATCTATTCTCCAAAGTACCTGAGGGCAGGACAAGAAGTAATGGGTGGAAAATCATGGAAGAGAATATCCCATCTAGAACTAAAGAGAAATTTCTTGACAGTAAGAAGAATTAATCAGTGGAACGACTTACCTCCAGCAGTTGTGGGTGCTCCATCATTCGAGGTTTTCAAGCGAGACTGGACATCCATTTTCTGAAATAGTATAGGGTCTCCAGTTTGAGCAAGGGGTTCAATCAGAAGCCCTTCAAGGTCCCTTCCAACCCTGTCAATTATGATTATTATAGGTAATATGCTTCTTGCTTTTCCCTGCCCCAATTGGACCTCTTCTTTGGCAGATATGTCTGTATTCTTGGCAGGCCTCTTCCTCGCAGAAGGAGATTTAGGCTAGCAGAAATGACTCACCTCATTCAACCCCCTCCATTTGGCAAATGTTTTCATTAGGAGTACATTCTTAATTCATGGAGATATTATGGAAGTTGTATCTTCTGCTTGCAAAATCCAACATTCGATAAAGCATCGAAATGGCTCCTGGCAGTTTGAAAATGTGTTGCTGCCCCTTTTGAACAAAAGCAAAAAGCTATATTACAAAGCATATCGTGGTTTAGATTTTGTAGATATTCCTTTTGCCAGATGAACACATTTGGGGAGGGGGGGGCATTGCAGATGTAGCATTGTTATTATTATTGTTATTTTCTGGAAACTACCACGAAAACACCTAAAATGCTAACACTGTTCTAAAGACTGAAGGACTATGGATTTAATTTTCAATACCTTGGATCTATACGTCTATTAGGAATTGATATTTATAGATACATTTTGATTTTGTTAGTTTAATGGATTTTGATTACAAGCATTCGGTGTTTAATAGACCGGTTGGACCTGTGCAGCCTTCATGCATAGGGAGTTTTTAAAAATTGTATTACAGCAGTGGTGGGTTTCAAATTTTTTTACCACCAGTTCTGTGGGTGTCGCTTGGTGGGCGTGGCGTGGCTTGGTGGGCGTGGCTTGGTGGGCATGGCAGGGGAAGGATACTGTAAAATCTCCATTCCCACCCAACTCCAGGGGAAGGATACTGAAAAATCTCCATTCCCACCCCACTCCAGGGGAAGGATACTGTAAAAATCTCCATTCCCACCCCACTTCAGGGGAAGGATACTGAAAAATCTCCATTCCCACCCCACTCCAGGGGAAGGATACTGAAAAATCTCCATTCCCACCCCACTCCAGGGGAAGGATACTGAAAAATCTCCATTCCCACCCAACTCCAGGGGAAGGATACTGAAAAATCTCCATTCCCACCCAACTCCAGGGGAAGGATACTGTAAAATCTCCATTCCCACCCCACTTCAGGGGAAGGATACTGAAAAATCTCCATTCCCACCCCACTCCAGGAGAAGGATACTGAAAAATCTCCATTCCCACCCCACTCCAGGGGAAGGATACTGAAAAATCTCCATTCCCACCCACTCCAGGGGAAGGATACTGAAAAATCTCCATTCCCACCCCACTTCAGGGGAAGGATACCGTAAAATCTCCATTCCCACCAATTCCAGGGGAAAGATACTGAAAAATCTCCATTCCCACCCCACTCCAGGGGAAGGATACTGTAAAAACTCCATTCCCACCCAACTCCAGGGGAAGGTTACTGCAAAATCCCCATTTCCTCCCTATCAGCTGGGACTTGGGAGGCAGAGAATAGATGGGGGCCGGGCCAGTCAGAATTTTTACTACCGGTTCTCCCAACTACTCAAAATTTCCGCTACCGGTTCTCCAGTTCTGGAGTTCCGACAGCAGTACACATGCACAAATACACACCCATGGTCACATAACTACATTTCAGGCACTATGGCTCATTTTTATAATTGGTTGTGACCACAATTTATGATTATTATTTTTTTATGATTTCTGACCTTTTCACTGCATTCCAGCAAAAAAAAAAAAAACGCCCCTAGGAATAAATGGATTTGCTTTACAATGTATGCTTTACAACCACTGCAACATAAAATCAGGTTTGTCACATAAGTGCCTCAATTTATAACCATCACAACTTACGACAGAAATTCTAGGGTCCGTTATGGTCATATGTTGAGGACTATCTGTATTGCTAATAGTATCAGTAGTGATGTTAACATTATTAGCATTCGCTACTACTGTTAATAATGTTACTATCACTACTGATACTATTATTACAAAATAATTACAATTATTACAAAAAAGAAGAAATATATCTTACAGTACA